GGTGAGTGTGGGGCCTTTTTTTTTTTTTTTAAGTGCCAGAACTAGGCTGGGGCCGGGCAGGGGATGAGGCCAGGCAGGACAGCCATGGGGGCTTTTCCTGCAGCTCCCCCCACTCGGGGAGAGGCAGGTGCAGCTAGATGAGCCACCTGGCTGTGCCTGCCTCTCTCCAGCCAATCCCAGTCACCAAATCTCTCCAACTGGACACCAAATCTTCCAAAGCCGATTGGCTGAATCGATTCAGGACAGTGATCCGAATCTCCAAACTGAATCACTGTCCTCTGTATCGGCCAAATCTGAATTGAATACTTCCCTATTCACACAGGCCTATCAAACACCTTTCTTACTTTAGCTTCCAGCAGTATTCCAATGGGCAAGCATAGATCCTAAATCTACAAAAAGAATAATGCAGATGGGCACCTGCACCCAGCTAAAGTACTGCTGACTCCACTAAAGCTCTTTCTGGGCACAGGAGCTCACTTACATGACTTCCTTTGCAGAATAATGCCCATACATAATACAAAGGATGTATAAATTGTGGAGGAAGGCATTTTTCAAAAACATTTTTCAAAAGTCTGTTCCTGTTAAGAAAAAATAAAGGTGTTCCAAGATAAAGAAAAAAGGAGTATTCATTTCAAGAGAAGTGTAATGCTTGATGCTAGAGTCCTAACCTAGGAAAACTTGTATTGACCTCTAAAAGAATCAATGAGAATCACAAGGAAACATCATAATTTTATTTAAGAAATAAAGGTCCCCATAAGCAAAGTATTTAGTGACTTTATCTCCTATCAACTTATAGTTCAGGGCTGGGCACTTAGTGAGACACCCTAGTCACACAGAAAAGAGTTTTGCACATAAAAATGTGCTCAGGGAATACAAACAGTGAAGTGAAATAAATCAAATTGTTCAGAGACAAATTCTACAGAAGAGCAGCAGGAAAAGAATATATGGCTAGAGGGCATCCCTTTCACCTGCCATGGCAGATGGCATTCCTCACAGCTATAGAATTATGAAGAAAGGCCCACTGCAATGCTGGAGGGCATTCGTCTGTCTCCCCAGAATACAAATATTGATGCTGCCATTCATAGTATTCACACTGGTGACAGAACTAAAGGGTAAATGATAATGTTCCCAGATAGTCTGCAGCAAATACTGACGTTAAAAATATCAGGACAAAGAATTCATTTTTACTTTTCTTCAGTGGGACTCACATTTTCTCTCTTCTGTTATTGTTAAGATGGCTTTAAAGCTTAAGTGGTATGACTGTTATCCCATGGAGAAGTGGACTGGTGTACAATGGGACTTAAACAAGATAATAGCAATAGAAGAAGATTTAAAGCCATCAAATATTCATAGGTGTTGCTTGCTTTCTACTGAGTTATGGGATACCATAACTCAGGAACTTCAGCCTGCTATAACTATATTCAGCTAATATAATTCTCCTGACAGAACCATGTATAAGAGGGATCCAACACTGGAACAGGCTACCTAGAGAGGTTGTGGAATCTCTATACCCAAAAATTGGCTAGACCAGGTTGAACAAACACTTGGCTGGGATTGTGTAGTCAGGGATGATTTTGCCTTGAGTAGAGATGACGTAGTCAGGTCCCTTCCAACTCTCCTTTCCTATGGTCTTTCCAAGTATCTCTAAATAAGGATCTTCAGGTTCCATGACAGTGATACAATATCAAATGCTACTTATCACAAGCTGTTATAATACAATTATTTTATAGTAAGAATCACACAGCCCTCAGGAAAGGTTAGATCCCTAGTCCTATTATAAACAGATGATGAGTAATAAGAGAATTGTAATGTTTTCTCTTTTCATATGATTTTATCCTGCATAACAAATAAAAACAATGTCCTTTCCTTATGGTAGATCTTACCAATGAATAATATAAATAATAGACATTTTTAAAAAACCAAACCTCTCAGCATGTTTTTTGATAGAGAATGTTGGAGTTTCCACTATTCTCCTCCCTTCCCCCTAAATTTGTAATTTTTTTTTATACTTGCAGTCAGGTCTTAATATTTAAACTTTTGTTATAAACTATTAAATATATTTTCTTCAATATAACTGATAGCTTGAATAAGTGTATTCTAATTAATCTACTTGAAATAGCCTCCTTCATGTGAGAGAGGACTGAAAGTAACCGCATTGGAAAACAACAGCAGAGCAATACAATGCGATTAAAACCATCAAGCAATTGTATTAGCAGTTGATAAGTTGCTGTAACTTGATATGCCACTTTGCCCCTTGCACTATTAGCTTCAAATCTGGAACAGCAAAGAGATTTCTGGGGACCTGAGAAATGCCAACATCATGACTATCTTCAAAAAAGGAGATATATGTGTGGGGAAATATTGAGGTATTTGCCTCCTTTTCACAGTAGGGCAAATCCTCTGCCACATCCTCCTTAACCATCTTCTACCTCTTGCTGAGGAAGTCCTGCTAGAATCTAAGTGTGGTTTCAGAGCATCCCATGTGGCAACTGACATGATCTTTGTTGTCTGCCAGGTCCAAGAAAAGTGTTGGGAACAACATGAAGACCTGTATATGGCCTTCATTGACCTTATTAAGACCCTTGATTCCAACAGTTATGAAGTCGTGTGGAAAGTACTGCTCAAATTTGGATGTCCCGAAAAGTACATCGAGGTCCTGAGGCTACTCTACAATCAGTGTCATTGCCCCAATTCTGTTCTGTTTTTTGACAGTCATCCTGGTTCTTGTGAAGGACTGCTTTCCTTCCAGAATTTATACTGAATACTAAATGGAGGGACGGCTCTTCAGTCTGGATCATTTTCACTCAGAGACCAAAACACTCAAAACAACAATCCTTGACCTTAGATATGCTGATGACTGCACCATCTTTGCACATTCTAAGGAAAACCTCCAGACTGCACAGGATCTTTCCGGAGAAGCCTACCCAACTTTGGGCCTCTCGCTCAACATCAAAAAGATTAAAGTATTCTATCAGTCTACCTTGAGCCATGAATGTGACCCTCCTTCTCAAATTACCATTGAGGAAAAGACCCTAGAGGTAGATGAGCATTTCCCTTATCTCAGTAGTCACTGTCTCAGAGAGTGAACATTGATGAGGAGATCAAGAACAGGATGCTGTACAAAAGTGCTTTCTTTAGGAAATTGCTTCAGTGCATCTTTATTCATTGTGATGTCTGGAAAGACACCAAGATCCAAGTCAACAATGCAGTCATCATTCCCACACTCTTCCACAGATATGAAACTTGGATGACCTACTGTTGTTACCTTAACAGTAGAGCCTGGAGAGGTATCACCAATGATACCTCCAGAAATCCTCCACCTTTAATGGGAAGATCACCACACAAATGCCAGCATCCTTGCTGAAGCCAGTGTTATTAGCATTGAGTCAGAGATCCTCAAGCACCAACATTATTGGACCAGATATTATGTACAGACAGAGCCAACCCTAGGGAGAGTGTGGGGCCCAGGCAAATCAACCTGTGTGGGGCCCCTTTAACACTGCACAGGGCTGTGGGACAAAAGGAAGGCACGGCAGTGCTGTAGCAATGACATTTGATGCCCAGGGCCAAGCAGATCCCATGCATCCCAGACAAGCTGCTCTTCAGCGGATGTGAAGCTGGTGGCATGCAGCAGGTGGGGAGGGGGCGGGCAGGGGGCGGTGAGCAGCTGGACACTTCTTCCATGGTGCAGGGATGAGCTGCCAGCTCCAGGTAGGCCTCATGGGAGGGTCTGCAGCTGCTCCACCTGGCTCCACAGGGCCCTCCAAAGTGTAGGGCCCAGGGCGGTCACCCCATTTTGACCTACCCAAGGGACAGTTCTGTATATAGATGCCTGATTCTTGACTCTGAAAAGAAGTGCTATATTCCCAGTTTAGTAATGGCCTGAGATCTTGTGGTGGCCAGAGGAAATACTACAAGAACACACTGAAGGCCTACCTCAAGATATGCTGTCATCAAGGTTTGAGAGGAGCTAGCTGCCAACCGACTCCAATAGTGCTGCAACCTTCATCAAGTGGCAGTCCATTCTGAGGTAAAGTATCTTGCCCTCGAAGCAGAGAAGAGAAAGCAAAGGAAGGAAAAGGAGAGGAATCCTAAGCTGAAGCCTTCTGTCCCCTGTGGAAAGACCTGCAACTTCTGTGGACGTATGAGTGGCTCAAGGATTGGATTCTTAAGTCATCTGAAAAACCATGAGCCATGGTAGAGATAATCCTCAAATTGAAAGCTTGCTGATGACTAACTCAAACAGAAAAAGCACTCAGGATATGTGCAAATCCTCCTACAATCTAGCTAGACCCAGGTGCTAATATCAGTAAAGTAGGCTGGGCTTCAGCAAGCCTTTCTACATCCCTGGAACCACCTAAACAGCTGGTGCGTCTTCACAGTTTTTATTATTTCTGCTAAATAAATACCAGTGTGGGAATGCTTGCATGTGCTATAGCCAAGTCTTTAATACCAGTGTAGATGTATCCTGGGTTTCAACCTTTCGAAATTGATGATTTCTTTATTTTATCATAATCTCTCCAAGCCTGAAAAGTCCTGTTTTTCCAGTTCCCTGCTGTTTTGTACTTACTGGTGCTAGAAGCTCAAACTACTTTTCCCTAAATTTACTTACTTTGGTGAAGCTGAATCTTGTCTTCCACCAAAGTTAATTATTTCCCAAATACTAATGCTATGTCTGGTTTGTTCCCTAATATAACCTTCTGTTCACAGAGTCTGAAAAAAACTTTCTGTGAAGTCAATGCTGGTCATTTCCTTGATTTCACTGAAAATAATGGTTGGAGATTAATTTAAAATGCAAATAAGAAAACGGTGAAATATAACTTACTAACTTAGAATTCTACAGATGATGTCTTCACAAACAGGAATTTTTGAAAGGTTCAGCTATAAAGTTCATGGTAGATTTAAAGATATAAAGATCAAGCCCAGATCTCCCCAATGCAAAATGCCCCAAATCTTTTGATTAACTATAGCCAATCTAGCATTAAAAGTTCATTTTCCAAGCCTCTGCCTTAGGACTTGTCTTTACTATAATTGGGATTTGAGTTTGGGACTTGAATTTTACCCTTCCTGAGTACAATGATTGCTTCATAATATTTCTGTTCTGGCTGACAGCAGATGCAATTGTAAGGGTAGAAGTATACAACGCAACATGAGCCTTAGGCTACAGAAATATCCTCATAACAAAACACAACTAAAGAGTGTAGGTATACATTATTCAACCTGAAGAGCCATTCTTTCTATTAGTCAGTTTCAAAACCAATTATTTCCTAAAGGAGCTCCCAGAGCTTAGTGTTTGAGACTTTAATCAGAGAATCCAAGTTTTATTTGGGGGGGAAAAGGAAACCCTTTTGTTTTAAAAACTTTGACCTTCTTCTGTAAATTCCATGTCACATACATGCTTTGCTGCGAATTTCAGACCTTGCAAAAATGTTGTCTACTTACTACCCATATATAATAGTCCAGGCTACAAAAAGGTCATGGATTTATATGTATTCTGGTATGATAACTACTCAAAGAGGCTTAAGGAAAAATGCCAAAACCTCTTATTCCATCCACTCTGTGTGTGTGTGTGTGTACACATACATATATACATAATACACACACACACACACACACACATGCACTCAACAAAAACTGCCTTAAGTAGTATTACAATTATTAATTACAGTAACCAATTCAGCAAGCAACACAAAAAACCTCAACATGACAAATCACAAGCTGCCTGGCAATAGAATAGTTCACTATTTTACTAACAGTAAATTACACATTGTTATATCTTTTCATCACACTGGGCATGTCTACAAATTCATTAATGTGCTGTAATTAGTGCACATTAAGCTTAGTACTTAGATAACCAACTACTAAGTCAATGCACAGTAACTCACACTACTGTATGGTAGCACCAGCGCATGGGTTTTTAATGATGCATTGCTTACTGTGCAGTAGCCTACTACTACTACACAGTAGCATATTAGCACAGTTTTTTTCCTGGTACACTACTGCACAGTGTTATTAGGCTACTGCACAGTTAGCATCTTGTGTAGACACACCCAGTAGCAGAGACAATTTACCCATAGCTTCATGTATTATAGTCTACCTAAGGAACCTAAACAGCTATGAATGCTGAGAAGTATTCAAGATGTCTTCTTCTTTTCCCCTTCTTCCTCATAATCTGTCTCTTTTTGAATATTCATCCAGTTTTAGATACAAAGAGTGTACTGTACATATATATTTTTCTACTTTCAGAAGTTTCCATTTAGGCCCTAATCATCATGCTTAAATACTGTGACTGCCTTCCCTCAGGCTTCCTTGATTTCTCCATCCTCAGGTCCCATATTGATCCTGTGAGCCTGTATCAGTGATTCTCAAACAGGCTACCACACCACCAGGAGACGCTCTGAGATCCTTTTAAGGGCACTGTAGGGTGCAATGCACTATGTGCACTGCTACATATACAAACATATGATTCATGAAATAATCCTAGAAATTTCAAATAGAAATCCACAGTGTTAGAAACATTCTGATCTGTTATGGTCTTTCTGAGTTCTTTGCAACAGAAAAAAATGCTCTATTTCCATAATCCAAAAATGAATGAAGACGAAGAACTGGTATTTTCTGAGGGGTGCCTTGAGTCTAAAATGGTTGAGAATGACTGCTGTAAAATTAAATCACAGCAGGTTATGAAGGGGGGAAAATGATTTAGAAATAGAAAATGTTTTGTTCCTAGAGTCAAGTATTTTTATAAGCATCTTTTACTGAATGAACTGCATAGTTTGAATAAAGTTAGACAAGTTTTTATATGACAGGCATTCTTCATCAGATTTTGTTCCTAAGCATCATCATACAGAACAATAAAAGCTAAAGACTCTCTGAGCATATTTGTCTAAAACATCCTTATTTCTATTTTTCTCTCTCATAGCAACAAAGACATAAAAATTAAAACTGCCAAACCTGATTGTGCCCTGACTAACATATCCAGTTAGTCATACATTACCATACAGAGACATTATATCTGAAATCTCAACAGAGTAAGAAGATAAAACAATATGCTCCGCTTGTAAAATTAGTTATTTTTCTCATCCCCCTGCAATCAGAATGATTGTTTACAATTAGTCAAATAGAGCCTTCAAGAAAAAATAAACTCTCTCTACATTGTAATAATTTAAATTGTAGCTAAATTTGAATAACAAGAGTCACTTTTAATTTATAAGTTGTTATTGATGAAAACAAATGAAAAATGTGACTGCTAAGCAAGGCATTTAGGTATTACGTAACTTGGTACAATGGAAAAATGTGCAGTGAAATAAGCAGAACTGAACTAGTCCGTTCTGTAATTTTTGCAAGGTGAACAGTCTGGGATCTTACCGTATCTGTTCAAGATGTAAATCACTCACAACATTCCTAAAGTGTAGCTGGTTGATAATAACATGGATTATTTTCAAGTAGTAGTGCATATATTTCTGTGTTTTTATCACTCAAATGTGTAACCCGAAATAACACCTTCCAAAAGTGAGGTAGATGCTTCACAGCTCCCAGAAAGCTTTCAAGAGTTTAAAGGCTAAATATGTACTAATACTGAACCCTATGATAGAAAATACTTTTGTGGTTAAGAGAACTGGGACTGAATAGATGAGTGTTCAGTTTCCAGCTCTTGTCTGAGAACCCCTATGTAACCTTGGGAAATCATTTTCTTTTTCTGTCTCAGACTCCGTGGCCCAAATACTTTTCTGTTGCTAAGATTTCTAAGTATTCGTCACAAGTGCAAAAAAATATGCATCTTGCATGAGGAATGTGATCATATTTCATCAGGTGATGCGCATTTCCTCTATTCACTCAATCGTCAGCTTTATGTACATCAGTTGTGTCAGGATTCAGTTCATTCAGAGGGAAGACAGTTATTAGGGGTGTGCAAATCAGGCCATATTCGATTCGGATTTGGATTCAGCCTGAAACAGGACAGTGATTCGACTAGACAAAAGAACCTAGTGACTTTTTCCCCCCAAACCTAGTGGTTACTGTACTTGCTACTCAGGAGACCTGTGAACTAGGCTTCACTCAGCTACAAGGGGTCAGAACCCACATCTTCCATTTCCCCCCCAGAATGTGGACATTTTGATGGGTACACAGTTGAAACTGGGCCACTGGATGGAAAGTAATATAAGCATCAGAGGGGAACCTAAAATCATCCTCATAAGTTTGGCATTTTCCCAAGAGGGAAAGAGTTCTGGGTTTTGCTTCCAATTATGTTTATACAGTTTGTATTAAATAGTTGGATAAAATACATAGCTAGCATTCTTAATCCCACAGATGCTCAGTTTGGTTATTTTCTGTCCGAGGAATCAGGCATTTATGCGGGGTTCATACACTTTTCAGATGGAATTAGACCACCACAGAGCATTAAGTAGAAGCAGATACTTCAGGGGTTCTGGATCATTTCTGAGCATGCAAAGTAGGCTGTATCTGGTTGCCTAGGGTCATGATGGAAACAACAAAGAAATGTAGGTGTCTTGACAACTTTGTAGCAGCTGAGCATGATGGGATAAGATAATATTTAATAACACGGGATATATCTATATCATGCAGGGTGTATGCTAAATCTGGGGAGTTCCTGAGCATACCCCAGTCCCTCACTCTTTCTAGTGTATTCCAAACCCATGAACCTGGTTCAGCTGATCTTGTGGTGGTCCTTGCTACTCTCAAGCACCCATGATATCTTAAGATGCCATGGAATGGACTCACTGGCATATATCCAGATTTGGAAAATGCAAGTGGGAGTGAAAGGGCAGGACAGGCCCAGGGCACACATCTCCCGTGGTGTCAGCGTATCCTTAGATGCCTATGAGAACCTAGACCCATGTGGTCCTGTCCCACAGGGGCACAAGTTTCATAGTTTCATAGTTTCTAGGGTCGGAAGGGACCTGAGCAGAT